ATCTATAGAGTGGTTTTCTTTCTTTTAAGTTGCAAATATCAATTTATTTCTAAAGGCTTTACACCTCACGCATTCTCAATTTATAGTCTCAATTCGCTTTAAATAATGTACCGCGTTTTAAGTAATATAATATTTCAAATAAATTTTATTTTCTGCCAGTCCTACGAACCTTTGTTGGTTGTTGATTGTTTGTTGTAGCTTGAATGATTGTCTTAGGAGAAAATCACATTTTATAGCAGAAATCGATATTTACGTTACTGTCGCCGATCATCGTGTAGTTTTTATTTTAAACCAAAAAGAATTTTTAAATTATTAACATATCTTTTTCTTAGTAAGATTGTCCTACATTTGAGTTATATTTTCTGAATATCACACCCTTCACACATATGCGTGTCACAGATTTTTAAAAATGTTAATATATTTATCAAATTTTGATGTCACCGCAAAATTATTTCTTTTCTATTTGGAAATTCAATAGGACTGGAAGGAATGATGAACTAACTCAATAGGACTAAGTTGTAACTTTTTAACATCATGAGCACCCTTTCTATTGCATGGAAAGGTAAAAAAGACACTGTTTATCTGTGTTTATGAACAATAGCCCCCCTTTTCTTATAAGTCCAATGGTTAAAAAATTCAACGATATTTACGTGTTAGTATTTATTCACAAATTAAGTAAGAGAACTACACTGTCCCCTATGGGCCAAATTGCCTCACACTCAAGCACTAGAATATGCCTTTAATTAACAGTGGAATAATTGAACAATGGCATTAAAAGTTACGATAAATCTCAGAAAGATATTTACGTTACCGATATTTACGTTACCATGTTTTAAAGTAAATAAGTATTAATTTCTAAAGCTGTTTCAACAGATTTGCGAGTGAATCTTTATGATGTAAATACTGGGAACATGAAGAAATATACACTGTTTCTTAAAATGTCATTTTTTCTGTAACAAGAGTGCAGAAATGCAAATGGAAGTGCACATGCAAAGGTGAACATTTTTACTCAATATCTTGTGCATCCGTGTGATCTGAAAATTGAATTGACATAATATTATTCACAAGTAGAATCGTGGTTTAATGATTGAATCTTTCCATTTTGAGCAATTGGTTAATATTGCATAGTTTCAAGTGTAATGCACGTTATCATTCGGAACGTAAATCTGAAACAAAACTTTCTTCAAGTCTGTATTTTGCTGTTTGTTTGAACTGATAGTGATAGTCAACTTTAAAAAATGGTTATATACACTTGAATTGTATACCAAGCTAAATATTTTGAAGAAAAAAATATCATTTTTGTAGGAAATATAATTCCAGAAAATAGGCGCTGCGTTGCATGCAGTGGGGGGGGGGGTGTTCTACATCGGGTAAAAAAAAGGAAGACGACTGTGGGTGTTGTGTGTCAAGATACTGGTTAAAATTGAATCCATTTCCATTTTTGTTGCTTTGCAAGAAATACATTTATTAACATGTATAAAATTTGCACTTAATTTTTCCCATTTGCATTGTTGCATACACATATGACTTAGGAGGTATGCGTCTATGCTTTAATGGTACTGAAAATTCAATTTACGTTATATGAACGTAGAATGTATATTGCTCTATAGAGCACATGTGATGTGCAACTGTAATTATTGACAAACTTTTTAAGGGTGGTCTTTGTTTTATTTTTGAGATTTGACGATAAAGTTTTCACAAACAATTAAGCATTTCTGGTATGTAGCAACAAGGGGGGGGAGCAGTCCCCCCCCTGCCCCCCTTTTTTTTCTCCAGCCTTACTTCAACTTCAGTAAATGTTCAGTGAAAGGCTGGTTGCCCCCACCCCCACTAATAGTGATGTGCGGAAAATATATTGTAATAATTGGTACTGAATGTAGTTGGCATTGAAAAAAGTTCGCCTCCCCCCTCTAGGATTTTCGACTTTGAGTAAGTTTTCTCATCCCGCCCTCCTTTTTTTTTTTTTTGCCTTGTCAACTTTCCAGGTAAGTAAAAAAAATTCTCTGGCTACCCCCCCCCCCCACACATACACTTTCAAAAACGTTGCTATGTGAATGACTGCATTTGAAATAATCAACAGATTAAATGGTGGAAGGGGGGGGGGGGTTATGAATTACATGAGTCCTCTATAGATAAATCATTTATAACTTGAATTTTCAATTCAACCCTTTGTAAGAACACAGATTAGAAAATTCATAAAATTCAATAATTTGAAATAAGATAATCATTTTTCCCCCGAATATACTTTTATTTTTGTATGATATCTATGTGCGATATTTACGTGATATTTAACAAACACTTCGTAATCAGGTAATGGCGAAATATTTAACCTTTTTATATTCTAAATAATGTGCGTTTCTCTGAGCAGATTAATAAAGAGTCAATTAATGTAGCATTTTAGGGAATATTATCATTATTAAGCTTATCATCGAATGTGCTAAAACTTGTTAAAATAAAAAGAAAATAATTTCATTTCAATGAAAATTATGTCCGTTTTATTTTTACTAATAATTGAATCAAAGATTGTACACCCCTTTTACAAATGTGCTTAAACGTTTCATAAATGTTTATAGTTAACAAAATTTGATGTGTATTACATTAATTTTGTATTTAAAAAAAAAGTCTTTCGTTTCCAAATATGGCTTTTCAACATCACGTAAATATCTTGGTGTAAAATTAGCCCTCCAACCGCTTTTATTTCGAAGGAGGCCAACAAAACAATGCATGAAGTATGTAAATCAAATTGCGATTTTTAATAACTATACACTTTCATGTTTCAAATGACGTATAAAAGTGTTAATTTCAGTTCACTAATTTTTTTGACTTTTCCCAAGATCGATTTGTGACTATAAATTGAGAATGCGTGACCTACTCTTCTTTCTCTCAGTCCCCTTTTGAGTACATATAATATTTTAGAATCGAAAATAAAACTCGGATTCCGGGATAATTTCGCATTCAAATTAGAGAATGAATTAAGAATATTTTTTTAAAATATAATCATAACAGACATTTCAGATTTACAGTACGCTGACAACTTTAAACTATGCATATACTGAAAGCAGTAACCAACGTAATCTTTCATGCAGAAGTGGATATGGAAACTCAAAAGTCTAATTATTTTTTTTATGTGAAAAGTTTGGATATAGACGTCTGCGACGTCATGGATACTACCTCCGCCTTTATCTCGAAAGTTCTATTCCCACTTACAAGTCAGAGTTATCTATCTTTGCTCATTGTCACTACGTAAATAGAGAAAATGAATTTATTGACGGAACCTTAAATCTCCAAAATGCAGAATCCGATTGAATAAATAATGTTTTGTATTTTTGTAGAATAATTTGTATATACATCGCTGTAATGTATACTGCGTACAATATTATTTTCTTCAAAGTGCTTAGTTGACATAGAACGGATTTTTTTTAGATATAAATTTGTAAATCAAAAACTTTCAATATACAGACTAAAACTATACAACCAAATTTAAACTAATATGCATATAGTGAATTAAGTAACTATTGAATGTGTTAATATGTTGACCTGGAGAGCGTATATATGTCTCTAACGTCATCAATACTATTTCCACCTTTATCTCGAAAGTTCTATTCCCATTCACAGGTCAGAGTTATCTTTCTTTGCCCACCTTATACATACTACGTAAATAGAGAAAAATTCGGTACCGAAAATATACAAAATGCGGAATCTGATTTAAAAACTAATTATATATTTAGTATTTGTAGAAAAATGTCTGTTTTACATAAGAATATCTTGAAAAAATATCTAAAAACAAAAAAATCAAAAATTGACCAAAAACAAATTCACTTCCGGTTCGGACAGGAAGTACTGGAAACACACGAAAACAACTTCAAAACAAATAGAATATCATGATCAAATACTCCTGTAAATTTCATATCTTTACCTTAAACCGTTTCCGAGAAAACTGCCGGACAAAAGTCCATTTTAAAATTCGAAAATCGGCCATAACTTCGGACCGGAAGTGAATTTTTCAAAAAACGGAATTTTATATAAACTTCATATATCAATCTACTTACATGAGAAAAATTGTGAAAATCTATCCAGCCATCTCTGAGTAATCGCGCTCACAAAATTTGGGAGGAATAATAATAATAATAATAAAAAGAAACAATACAAACACTATAAGTCTTCCGTTGTGAACGGAAGACTTAATTAGAAACAGAGTAAAAACAATATGTTCCCAAACTCCGTTTGGGGAACATAATATAGGTATCCGATTTACTTTTCATATGATTTCAAATTGAATGTCATGAAAATACCCTATTTTCTACATAATTCTGCTAAAGCCGTAAAGTACGGGAAAAAGAAAGTTGAAATTGATTATGACATCATAATGGATCCATTATACCTAAAAAGTTCGTGGATAGGCAAGGGCTTGCTCTGGTTTCTTCTTCCCATGTGAATTTTAAAATGTAGTGCTGAAGAATATGTTTTGCGACAATTGAATTTTTCAAAGTTAGAAATTCTTTGAGGAAAATTTATTTCGTCATCAAATATCATTTGATTTGTGTTTTCACTCTGCAAATTTCCAGACGCTAACACTATTAAATATTGTCAATTTTTGCGAAGATTCCGATAGGTATCTCTGAGTCTCCATGGACCTGCTATTTGTAGCCTGGGAAAGATCTTAATACAGCCCCCCCCCCCTTGCAGTCAGAAAACCATCCACATAGTGTCCCTGATTTATACACTAAATTGACGACGGATTTTTTTTTCCGTTTATCCCGATAATGACAAGGAGCACACGGCGGGTGTGACCGGTCGGCAGGGGATGCTCACTCCTCCATGGCACCTGATCTCACCTCTGATGTTTGCTCTGCTCCTCCTATTTTTTATTGTTTTATTGACTTTTGATCCTGAATTATGTTTGTTATCTCCATATGTTTCACTTTGAAGTCATATCGAAATCCTGGTGTGGTAACGAATTATTAAGGGAACGACTGGATGCATTATTAAACTGGTCCTCGGGAGAGAAAACTACCAGTAAATAATATTGACATGGATTGCTAATTTTTTTACTAGATGACAAATTAGTCGTAGGTCATTATTATCGTTTATATCGAGATGTATCGGGCCTTGTATAGTTATGTGGCTAAGACGAAGAACTTTGACTTGTCATTTGAAGCCAACGATCAGTTTACAGATCTCGAGAAGCCGGAGGGCGGGTGGCTGCTAGTGCAAAACGGCTTTGGGGAAATCGGCCATGTACCTGCTAGTTATGTTGAGAAGGAAGACAACGTAATTAAGCATTCATTTGTCACTTTGTTGGTTGCTATTGTTCACTGTTTGACGGTTAGCGAAGATTAGTTAAATGTTGTCTTTTAAAATGACCTAGGCTACTTCAAATGTGTGTGTAAATACGCAGTTAAAGATCCTCAACCATGTCAAGTAGGAGGAGTTGATCTTATGCAAGAAGCAATTATTTACGTGCTATTATATTTTTTTTTGCAGTAGTGTTATATTGTTTTTGAAATATGTACGTATAATTACTTCATTTTGTGCAGATTTGTTGTGTACTGCAATAATTCTGTCAGCAATGAAGCACAAATTGCATCAGTTAATCACCACATGTATGTGAAATAGTTATGTTTTATATAACTCGATTACATCTTTTATAAAACATTCCTAAGCATTCTCTTCCAAGAATGTTATCAATTTTTTCAGTCCACCTTGGCCGAGATCCTGAGCTCAGTAGATAGGGCAATACAAAATATACATTACCAGGCCGCCGCCTCTGGGACCTATACACACCATCAAAGAGAAAACCTGCAGTATGTATACAGTCTACTGAAATACATCTATATTTACAAGTACATGTATATTTATATATATTTACATTACACATTTTTAGGTCACCTGAGTAAACTCAGGTGACCTATTGCTATCCGTTTTCGTCCGTCGTCGTGCGTCGTGCGTCGTGCGTCGTGCGTTGTGCGTTAACATTTGAACATTTTCAGCTTCTTCTCTGCAACCACTGAACCAATTTCAACCAAATTTGGCATAAAGCATCTATGGGTGAAGGGGAACAAAAATTGTGAATTTCATGATCCCTGCCCCCCTGGGGCCTGTGGGGTGGGGCCAAAACCACTAAAATTAGTGCAATCTTTAAAAATCTTCTTCTTTACTCCTGGACATCAAGCAGTCAAACTGTTTGCGTGATTGTAATCAGCAATGAGTCCTCTACCAAAATTGTGAAATTCATGGCCCTGGGGTCAGGGGTTCTAGTGCTAGGGCGGGGCTAAATAAGTAGGTAGTGAAAATGCATTATTTCTTTGAAAATCTTCTTCTCTGCTCCTGGGTATTAAATAAATCAACTAAGTACATAGTTATGATGAGCAAGAGTGTCTCTACCAAAATTGTGAATTTTATGGCCCCAGGGTCAGGGGTTCTGGTGTTAGGGCGGGGCTCTATTGATTATATAGTGAAAATACATGAATTCTTTGAAAATCTTCTTCTCTGCCCCTGGGTATCAAATAAACTAACTAAGTACATAGTTATGATGAGCAAGAGTGCCTCTACCAAAATTGTGAATTTTATGGCCCCAGGGTAAGGGGTTCTGGTGTTAGGGCGGGGCTCTATAGATTATATAGTGAAAATACGTGAATTCTCTGAAAATCTTCTTCTCTGCTCCTGGGTATTTAATAAACTAACTAAGTACATAGTTATGATGAGCAAGAATGCCTCTTCCATAATTGTGTATTTTTTGGCCCCAGGGTCGGGGGTTCTGGTGTTGGGGGGGGGGGGCTCTATAGATTATATAGTGAAAATACATGAATTCTCTGAAAATCTTCTTCTCTGATCCTGGGTATTTAATAAACTAACTAAGTGCATAGTTATGATGAGCAAGAATGCCTCTTCCATAATTGTGTATTTTTTTGGCCCCAGGGTCGGGGTTCTAGTGTTAGGGCGGGGCTCTATTGATTATATAGTGAAAATGCATGAATTCTTTGAAAATCTTCAATTCTCCTCCTGGGTATTAAATAAACTTACTAAGTGCATAGTTATGATGAGCAAGAGTGTCTCTACCATAATAATAAATTTTATGGCCCCAGGGTCAGGGGTTAGGGTGGGACTGTATTGATTATATAGTGAAAATATATGAATTCTTTGAAAATCTTCTCCTTTGCTCCTAGGAAATAAATAAACTAACTAAGTACATAGTTATGATGAGCAAGAATGCCTCTTCCATAATTGTGAATTTTATAGCCCCAGGGTCAGGGGTTCTGGTGTTATGGTGGGGCTCTATTGATTATATAGTGAAAATACATTAAATCTTTAAAAAATTTCTTCTCTGCTCAATGGTATTAAGCAGATGAACTACAAATAAAGTTATGATGAATATAGTTATGATAGACAAGGGCCCATATCTTACAGAATTGTGAATTTCAAGGCCCCAGGGTCAGGGGTACCATAGAGGGGGGGGGCTGTACTTATATACTGAAAATGAATGAATGGTTTGAAATCTGCTCCTTGGTATTAATTAAATAACAAGGCCAAAGGGTCAGGGGTTCATGTATGGTAGGGGCACTACTGATTATTGCTGAATATTACTGATTAGTTGAAATGCATTTTGTGTTCCCTTACCCTGCGTATGGGTATTAAGTAAACAAATTAAGCAACTGCTAAGTGTATTGTAATGATGATCAATGGTGCCTCTTTCAAAATTGTGAATGCCATAGCATCTGGCTTAAAACATGAATCAAGTTTAATCACTGGAAAGTTGTTGCATAATGCTCAGGTGACCTATAAGGCCCATGGGCCTCTTGTTTGCATACAAAGTGTATGGAAATCTACAGCATTTTAAACACCATAAATTAAAAATAGAAAGGGGTCAAAAGGTTAAAGCATGCATTTTAATTTGACATCAAAATTGTTGTACGCTGAGGAAATGCAATTTCATAAGTAAAAATAAAAAGTCATGCTTACAATGACCAGAAGCTGTTACGTTGGCTCTAGTAACTCTAGCTTACAAGTAGGATAATACAGGGGTTTTAAGATATAATTATAAAGCACAATTATAGTCAAGGAAGAGAGTGAAAAAATGTAAATATAAGCAAATATATAACTTTGTGAAATCAGGTAATCTGATTGGTCAATACGAGGTAATACGAGGTAATTATATTTTAATAAGGACCGCTGAGAGCGAATAATGACTCGCACGAACTGCCTCATTTTCACTTTCGCTTAGTCAAACATGGAAGTTTGCAAGTTTGTATGTTGAAGGTGAGGAAGATTTAAAAGATATAGGGTGAATTCACCATGCATCGGACATATACCTTGCTTCGGACAAGTTTAGACAATAAACTCTCTTTCAACTTGAGTGTTCCGTGTATTTATTTGTTTCTGTCTTGAAGCTGAAGATTTAAATTTTTTAATGATATCGATTGTTATTATCATGTTGTGATAAAAATATCCCGAGAATGGCCATCAAAGGGGAAAAACCAGAAATTTATGATTTTGCAATTTTTAGAGTTATCGTTCTTTAAATTCGATTTCAACGGAACGAGTCAGACTTTGGTAAATTTTGTCAAAGATTGGCAATTTTACATGAATTTTAAAGAAATTTCACTTCAATGTTCGTATAATTCTTTTAAGAGCTGGTTTTTACTAGTATTTTCATTTCTCCATATATGGGACACAAATAAACCATGCATCGGACACTTTCCGATGCAAAGGTAAGCACTACCATTTTCATACAGAACCCAACTGACAGCTGTTTTTTTGCGGAAATAGAAACTCTATATTTCAGTCAAAATACAAGTTATTGATCAATTGATGTATGACATCTAGAATTTGACTCAATTTATTTCTACAAACCAGAGTATGATAACCATGAGAAAAAGGCGCGAATTACCGCATTACAAGCATTTTAAAGCATTTCTAAGGCAGAGTGAGGTATCTTGAGTCGTTCTACATTTGTGCAACGATATCGTCATTTAAACTTAAGGGTTATTTCTTAGATAAAAGATAAAAATATATCCATATCAAGGACTTTAAAGCACTGTGATAAAGGTATGATATTTTTCCAGTCCAAATACCGTCTGTCCGATGCATGGTAAATAATATCCGATCCACGGTGAATTCCAAGTTATTTTTAAAAACTTGATTTTTGAGGACATTTTCTCAATAAAAGGCATATATTTGCGTCCCAAATGAATATTTTAATCACATACTAAATGTTTAGCTCCATTTTGATAATTTTACGTCGGTAGCGATATCACTATAGAACTTGTTGAAGTACAAGGGTGTCCGATGCATGGTGAATTCACCCTAGTGAAGAACTCTGAGTCTGAGAATACAAAAGGATTAGCAAGGATATCTGTTAGCATTTTTCAGGAATAGTTAGCACATAGCATTTCATGGTTGAATTCGATTTTTCCACTCGATGAGCAGAGTCTTGACGCTGTTTATGGAGACTAAAGAAAATAAAGACAAGCATGCCATGTTTGATTGCATTTCCTCTGCAACTGTGTTAATGAGTGTGATTCTGGGGGAGGGGGTACTCTGTGTTATTGAGTGTGATTCTGGGGGAGGGGGTACTCTGTGTTATTGAGTGTGATTCTGGGGGAGGGGGTACTCTGTGTTATTCGGAGTTAGATACCTTGTAATTGTATTAATATGTTATGGGTTAAAATTTGTTACAGAAATAATTGCCTGTGAGTAACATTCAGTAAATTCTGAAACATTTATATTCTACTTATTTATGGTTAACAACAACAGCATATCACTATTTCTGTAAACATTAGAAAGATATACATCATTTGTACTAATAAATATGGGAAATTATATAATATAATAAATATGGACTCAATGCACGGCCAATATGCATTTATAATGACCCGGCCAGGATGACAGATATTGACCGAAGACACGTGGAGTATATCGACTGAGGGCACTTATTGCTTCTTAGCTATTGACCTACATTGAGTCCATATTTGTATTTTAATCACCATTTTTTTTGAGAGATATAGTCTCATAACTGCAACTGTTTGTGCAGTTAAATGTTCATAACAATGCTAATGTACATTACTCAATTTGTTTGCACACTTTGTTGCAGTTATGAGACTATATCTTTAAAAAAAATTCTTTTCTTAAATATCATTTCACCTCTATAAAATTAATAGGATATAAATTATGTAACATGTTGCAACAGATTATTATAAAAATGCTAGTTTCATTCATATATTACTTTAGAAATTTTTTTTTTGATTCAACAATTTTTTTTTTTCAGTAAACTTGGACTGCATAGAGATCATGTGTTGAGGGAACATGGACCTCAAGGAAACGTTGAGCATCATTTACATCACACTCCGAGTGATAGCGGGTCAGAGTCTAGTCATCATAGTGAACACAGCTCTCACAGCTCACCCGAAAAACATTGGCATTTAACGGGTAAGTATCTGTAGTAGAAAAAACATTGGCATTTAATGGGTAAGTATCTGTTGTAGCAAAAACATGGCATAACCTACAGAAATACATGTACTTTCACTTGCCAACAGAAAGATAAGATATTGCCTCCTTGACCTGTAGGTTTTATCTGAGAAATTGTGAATTTTTTTAACATTAATGAAAAAAAACTTTCTTGTCAGAAAAAGAAATAAAAAGTTGAGTGTAATCACGAGAGACAGTGTGCTGGTGAAAATATTATTCTCGCATAATATTAGTATTCCTATAGATAATATAGAGCAGCTAGTAACCACAATTTGTGAAAATTTTGTCTACCTCATAAAGAGGCAATGACTATCTTGCAAAAATAAGGTGCCAAGAAAATTTAGTGATCTGCAGTATTGTTCATTGAACAGACTTCACATACAGCATATACATGTACAGTGTACTTGTATATGAATTGGGTGATAGCACTGATAGGTAGTTTAACTTTATGTTCAACTTGTAAATAAATCTTATAAGACTGGTTGTGTTCCAGACTACTAACACATGAACAACTCCAACATCGATCATTACCTACCTACCTACATACCTAGTTCTTGTTGCACCTGGAGGCACATAGGGCAGGGACTAGGGATTTCCATTCCTCTCTGTTTTTTTTGCAATCTTCTCCACCTCTCCCCAGGCCATTACCATCAACATTTATACAACAGAATATTTCTAATAAATACTTTTTACTTTCTTAACTTCATATTCATTCTACATTAAAGAAAGCTTACGGAAATGCTTCAAGATTTGAGTGTAAAATTGATTTTTTTTGTAGATGTTGGACATTTGATGAAGAGGCACTCTAAGCGTCCAGCGCCCCCGCCACCAACTGCACCCCCTGATCAGTCCCCCCATACTCAGTCTCCCTGGCCACACCATACCATACCCTCCCACTCCCCACCAGAGGAACATAGATCCCCCCACTCCTCCAAAGGATCACTGAAGCATTCAAGTCCACACTCTCAGCACCACTACGTCAAGCACAAAGACCAGAGTCCCCACTCCTCCCAGGGGTCAATATCAGGGTCACTTTCATCCCAAGAGTCACTGAGGCAAAAGGGCATCAGTCCACACTCATCTAAAGGGTCCTTGCAGCATTCGTCCTCTCAGCAATCTGCAAAAGCCAGACTTTTTCATGACCCAGAAGATAAGGAAGCCCAGGACAATGGCTGGGTACATGTAGACGAGACTGACGGTAAGGCAGTGTCCGTTACTGAAGGTCCGACTGTACCAGAGTCTAGTGCTACTCCTCGAGGGGCCTCTATAGAGAGTGTGGAATCCCCAGACCATTCTACGGGAACATCAAACCTGTTGTCGGTCACTGACAACAAAATGCTGAAGTCCGAGAGTGTGATCTCCCTGTCGTCTCGGCTGTCCATCTCCAATAGTCCGATCAAACAGCTGGACAGCCCCAGTGTTATCAATGTTAACACCATTCCCCTGCCCTCTAATCTGGCCACCGAGCTCGTTAGTGAGGTGAGGAGACACACGAACCTGAGCTATGATAAGTCCTGTCTGGCTGTGGAGGTGGTGCTCACTCACATCTCCAACAAAATGCCCCAGGCTGCTGGTCTGATGGAGAAAATACTCTGTACATTCCAAGAGGTAAGTTATTTATCAATCAACACAATAAAATAAATATTAGATTTCTGTCAAAATTTTATTTTGGAGTTTTGTATTTCAAGGTTTACATGGAGGTAGTGTGTATTTTATGTGTTTGACAAAAAATTTGACTGCTTTAATACACTAACGGTGTATCTGTATGTGTAATAGGTAGTGTGAAAATAAATCAAATCTTGTTTCTCATAAAAAATTATAAGTATCTCAGATTGGACATAAAGGTACATATGTAGTTTACATTACACACTAGTATTTTTACATCTGATAGTGCACTGTAACTCAAAGCTTGTTGTTTTACACATATTTCTCACAAATTTGATATTTCTGTGTGAAACTGAGACAAGTAGTTCAATAATTTTCAGAATTTTCACTATTCATTTAAGGATATATGGGTAATGATTTATCATTTTATTTACTTTATCATTGATAAATCAGGATGTCTGCTATTCTTGAATGCAATGATGCCATGAAAATTATTTTACTAATACAAACATTTACTAATTCAAGAGTACAGAATGTTGGTTAATTTTTAACTTGCATTTGAAACGGAGGAGAAATGACCCTCTGATAAGGGGGGGGGGGGGGGGTTAACTCTAAATTCATTAACATGATTCTTAAATTTTTCTTCTTTAAAGGATGATAAAATTTGATATTTCAGAAAATTTGATCTTTTGAAAAGAAAATATTTAGCAGTTGGTCATTTTATCTCTAGTAGCTTAGTTTTGATGTCGACAAAATGGTATACACTTGCCACTGTAAATGGTATACACTATACTGTAAATCACTTTTTATTCACGAGAACTTTATTCTCGACAATGTGCTCGCGAAATTTTAATTCTTGCATATAATAGTATTCCTTAAGAATATATAGAGCAATAACCACAATTCGCAAAAATTTTGTCTCGCTAATCAAGAGTCAGTGACTATCTCGCGAAAATAAAGTGTCGCGAAAATTTAGTGATCTACAGTAATTGAGTATAAGGAGATATTTAATGCAAAATAAAAATCTGTTTTGATCATCAGCAACGTAACCAACATACAGATGTATTGTGCATATTTTGCTAAGTTGAATGCATGGACCATAGCATTCTTTTCCAAGTATTTATTAAAATAAATGTTCAAAAGCATTTTAAATGAATTTTGCATGGAAACAAAAAATCCTAATATTTGTATGAAGCAGTAATTGAATGATACACGTGTTTGCATGTTGAAAGTGTGACTCAGATATCTGCCTGAGATTTAATATATACACTGTACTTCCAGTTGTACATTCCGAAACATACACTTAAACTTTGGTATCTCAAACACCAAGAATATGTTTTAAGTGATTTGTAAGTTCCAACTGATTAATCGTTAAGTATTTTACCATCCATATCTCAACTCATTAGACACCTTTATTTTTTTTCTCTGTCCCATACTGTTTGAGATCATAAGGTTTGACTGTATTTTAAATTAAATGTCGGTTGACTTTTTTTATCATGTAAATGTAGAACGTTAAAAGAAAAAAAAATAGGTTTAAATTATTGATTTAGATATATATATTGATGTTTATTTTTCAGGCCAGCACTGCTTCTGAAGACGACCTGAGTCACGATCACGTCCGTCTCCGAGAACTCCTGGAGAAGATCACAGAGTGTAAAGAGGATTCACAGCAGAGGAGCTGGGCCCTCCATGAGGACCAACACATAATATCAGGCTACATTGAGGAGCTGCTGTCAATACTGGTAATATATATGTAGGACTCCAAAGTGCGATGGGACTCCAAAGTCCGATGGTCACGCCTAAGTCCAATGGTCTACGCCAGACCCCGATGGTTTGACACACCAAACCCCGATGGTGCTGAAAACAATTAACGTTTATGACGTCATAATACTAATGCGGCAAACTACAATGCCGCACCATGCAAAGATTTTAAATAAGTATTAATAATTATCATTATGTGAAAACTAACCGTATCTCTCGGATAGGTGAGAAACTAACCCTAATCGCTCGAAAAGTGTGTAGGCCTAACAACTATATAGATATTTAGATATCTTGGGTGGGTGCGATACTAACCCTAATAACTCGACTAGTACGCGAGGACTAACCCTCATTCAATTAAATTAAAAGGACTAACCCTTATCAGTTGAGTGGTGTGCCAGGACTAATCCTAATATCTCTGAAACATGAAAGCAATACACAAAATAAATAAAAGCATATGCAAGGATAAATTCGGAAATGATGGCGTTTGAATGCAGGAAAACGGCTCCAAGGATTGACGTTGAATTATTGTGACGTCATAAACGTCAATTGTTTCTCCGCACCATCGGACTTTGGCGTGTCAGACCATCGCACTTTTGCGTCGCACGTCTCATAGGAAACCAGCCATCGGACTTTGGCGTGACCATCGGACTTTGGTGTCCGTACTGACAACAAACCATCGGGGTTTGGCGAGACCATCGGACTTTGGCATCACCATCGGACCTTGGAGTCTTACATATATAATAATTCATAATATATAACACATAATATATAACACATAATATATGACACGTAATATATAACATAATATATAACATAATATCAGGCTACGTTGAGGAGCTACTCTCAATACTCGTAATATATATAATAATTCATAATATATAACACATGATATTAGACTACCTCGAGGAGTTGCTCTCAATACTGGTACATGTAATATATATAACACATAACCTCAGACTACCTTGAGGAGCTTCTATCAATACTTATAATACATGTACATATAACACATAATCTCAGGCTACCTCAAGGAGCACCTGTTAATACTGGATATATTTGTGTTTATGCCTTGAAATCTAAAATGTGTAGGGATTGTTATTTTAATGACATGAGTGCATACCTTTCGTTTTTTTCACACTCTTGGGCAATCACTGCTAAAGCATTTTAACATTATTTCTTGGTCAACGATTACTAGGTATGTTAGATTTGGGCCACACTCATATTCAGATGTTGATACATTATTGTATCTTGCTTCTGATTATTTCTGATATAGATATTATGTTTGTTCTGCTCTAGTTTACTACATTTTACCTTTCTTTATAACAGGAAAATGCCAAACCTTCTACATGCCGCCATGCCATAGCATCTGATGGTTACGAATGTATTCACAACTTAGTGCAGTATTATCAAATGGTATGTATTACACAGGGTTAAAAAAGCATCATCTAATGGTATGTATCACACAAGCCTCATGCAATGCCACCACTATGGATAATACATATGTACTGCATATAAGTAATAAGTAGTATTGGTTGGTATTTATTTTCCTGACTTAATTCAGTGTCATTAATAGTATATTTCATATGTACAGTTTGACCTATCCCTAAGGTAGTCTCTTTAGATGTTAAGTTACGTCATTAAATATAGTTAAATGATAATAATTAACCTGGCTTATTTATCAGTTTTCAATTGTGACGAAAGTATTATGCATTACAAGCACATTTCTAAGACAAGGGATGTAATTGTAACAGCATTTATACTACTGGCATATATATATATAAAAGTCATAATGAACTCCATTCTAGATTGTGTAATATTTTATAAGAAATAAGATACACGTACATGTAACTATCAAATATTTTAATAATTTTAACCATTTTATTTTTAGTCAGCAGTGACTCTTTTAAGAATACAGGTCTATAAATGTGATTAAATATGAAAAATTTGTTTTTAAGGAGGTTCGCCTTCCCTTAAGGATTTCCCTGCTGAAGGTTTTCGGAGCCCTTTGTAATCTGGAGTCCTCCATTATTTCTCATCTGCTGTACTCCATATTGCCTTTAGAACTAGTCTCGGAAATACGCAACCAAAATCAAGGTACCGTATTTTGGGGAATACAATACGCACTTTTTTCCTAAAATAAATTACTGTGAGAAAGGGATGCGTATTTTACATCACAATGGGAATTTGACAAGTTTTTCTTTCAGGTGAAACACGGCTATCATACGACGCTGAATTTCGTGTGAGAGCAACACAAACAATTGGACAACAACGATATATCGGGAAAGTCGTATACCGCAGTATTACCTAGAGACATATGCAATTTCTTTTGTTTATTGCCATATTTTAAACTTCGGAAAGTTATTGTTGGAAGGTATGCTTCTTAAAAATGTCACTTTCACAATCTTTTGATACCAAAATAACATGAAAAAGTAAGTTAAAAGTAATTTGAGCTGCATGTTGATTGTCTCCGAGGAGGCCACCATTACCGATGTTATTTTTAGACGTTAACTCATGCTTATGTCACGTGTTTCCGTAATGATAGTGCACATGCACCTTATCTGCCAGACAAAGTAATAAATAATTTTTTAATGAAATACAATAAAATAAATATTAATTTTAGGTTTAAAATAACTCATTGATAATCTGCAACAATATTTAACACCCCTCCATACGTCCCAATGAAAGGAAGCCAATGTTGTGCGCTTGTCAAATGATAATTACCTATCAACACCCCTCGGGGCAATTAAATGTCTACCGACTCCAAAGCAATGTTTTTACAGTTACAGCACTGATTATTTACTGCCATGTTAATTGCTTTGATTATTTTCTTTGTTAAAAAGGGGGGTCGGTTTATGACCTTTCGTATGTGTGAGCATGTGTTGATTACGGCACTTTAAACAATTAAACACTTGTTAAATGTAATTTTACCTTATCTTATACTTATCGGCCTCTTGTTTAAATAATCGAGAGTTGACAAATGAAATATAAATTATGCTAAAACTTTTAATAAAATTGGTATCATTTAGAAAATAAGATATCCGCGAAGATTTAGAAGAGGAAAATCGTAGTCTTCTTAAAGAAATAAATACTTTGATGTTTCAATTTCGTTTCCTGTTAAAATATTGTCAGATAATTTTCAGCATGATTATCTAGAACCTAAATTAAATATGACAACTGATAAAACTTTCGACAATATCTCTTGCTTTGTTGAAATAAAATTATTTCATCTAAGAATATGGCGACGCATTATTTCAAAATCACCGTAACTATTCTTTAAAAAAATCTGTTAATACTTTTACGCAATATTATCTTGTACTTTGTTGAAATAAATGAATAAATAATTTTCTCCAGATTGCCGCGATATGGAATGTCAGGATTAAGAGAAGTTATAAAGTGTGTATTTTAAAAAAAAAGTGTGTTCAGTAAATTTTTGACACTTAATCCTCGCGCCGATTTTTGTAACAAATTACCGCGATTTTCAAAGTTCAGAACATCGCTTGGTAAATTTTTCTGTTGCGTATAATACATCCGAACTGAGTTTTTTCCCCCAGTTTCAGACTCAAAAAGGGGGGTGCGTATTTTACATCAATGCGTATTATACTCGGCCAAACACGGTACTAGGAGGATTAAGAATCATCACAAATAATGGAAACAAAGTGACAGTTCAGAGAATGCTCTTTACTGATAAATTTTTCTTTTGTTTGATTGTGTTCATTCAAATTCTAAAAGATATTAAAGTAGAACGCATAGGGACTTTTGTATGAATTTTTCCACCTCTTTGTTTATGTGTAAATTGCTTTCTAAAGAAGGTGTTTAGTTAAAATAAAACATTGAAAGTTTAGTCACTTTTTTTATCAGTGAATTTTTTTCCTCTTATTTTTTAATTAATTTGCATATACATGTGTTGTAGTGTATATTTTTAGAATTTTCTTTTCTTGTATTTTGTAGAAGCTCAGAGACTAAGTTACGTAACTGGAGTTTTGACCATGATATTTTGTACAGGAGAGCCAGTGCCTGCTAATCTTCATGGTATAAAAAATAAAATTGAAAAATACAATGTAATTGATTAAATAAAACTGTAGTGATTGACACATGGAAAGCTCATGTGAGCTTCTTGAACCCAAATTTATCTACAGTAGCTGAAGAGTCTTTAACAGAAAGTTTTAGCTTAATGGACTCATGGGAACATTGGTCATGTTAATAGTGAAAATGATGAAAAAAATGAAAGGAGAATAAAGGTGCACAACAAATCTAATCAATGAAGTTTCTTGTATTCTTAAATTAATACAAATGTATTTTTTGCCACCGTTATGTTATTTACAAATATGTATATTATAATTTGTTGATTTATGCATGATAGACACCATGAATGAGAATTTCCTGGATGAAGTGTTGGAGATGATAGAAAACCCAGCCTCGCTGGACCACGATGACCTGTGTACTGATTCACTGGTCACTCTACTTCTGGCTTATAATCTCCACTTCCCCTACCAGGAAGAGAATGACATCATGTCTTTACTCGCCAAAAAGGGAACTGTCAAGGTCTTCACGGAGAAACTCTTGGAAATCTTCAATAGAGGAGGTATGCTATAAACCAACTTTTATTTGCGTTTGAGAGATTTTTCGTGAAGTTCTCGAGAGACTCGTCATCGCTGTAAACTGTTTCTTAAAGTCTATGTGTCTATTAACAACAGAACCTGAAAAAGGCTTGATCAAGAAAATTATTGTTTTGAACTAGTTTACCCCCAGTAAATTGCGAAATAAAGTCGTCACCAATAAAAGTTGGTTTACAGTAAAAGTAGAGGACAAAAATTTTGTCTCATTTTCACAGGTGGCACATGTAAAATTAGAATTGTAAAGTAATTTAGAACTAAATATTACTTTCTTATATGCTTGAAAAATGTAGCATTATTGCTAACTATCTCACCAGAAGGCACACTATGCAAATTTTCCGAACATCCCTTTGGTATCATCTCTTCATCTCATAAAGTAGGTGTAAAAATTTATGCCAAATAAGTTTATGACAATGTATTGATATTTTATTGTACATTGAGTAAAGTTGAAATGGAATAGGTATCTTTAAGTCATGAAATTTTAAGTAAACCATAACCATTTACTCTTGAAAATTTCAAGACTCCTTGATTTCTTACTTTTTGTAGATTTTTGTAAAATGTTACATTGACTGATTTAACAGAGATAGTGTTCTCTTTCAGAGGATCCAGTGAAGATGTTTGATCACCTGACCTACCCTGTCCAATCACAGGTCAAGTTTATGATTGACATGTACAGCCAGCCAGGCACCGCCTCCCTTCTGTATGTTAATGACGCCAAAGTCCTGATAGACATCCTGATACGATTCCTTACTGACCTACAACCAGGAGACAAAGTAGGGGACTAGGGCTTACTCTCATTCTACATCAAATGTGTACTAAATATAAGAATTTATTTGACATTTTTTTCTTTCTTTCTTAATTATGTATGTGTAATATTACTTTATGCAAAAATTAGTGTCTGACTGAAACTCTGCACATACAGTACATGACATGTAGTGCATGTGTACATAGTTTTAAAATGGACATTTCCATAATTATGATGAAAAAAAAAAAACTTATTGGAAGGAAAATTTATTGATATTTTTAAACTAAACATCAGCTCTTAGCATCATAGCCTGTCAGCACCAATCTTTGTATTATTAACAAGATTTTTTTCTATTTTATTTATCTTGACATGTACATGTAGATATAAACATGTAATATTTCTATCAGTGTTTCTAAACTTTTAATGGATCCATCACTTTTGTCATTGCAGCTCCGGTCTTCAATTCTCATTCTGTTGAAACTCCTTGTGAAGAACTCAGATTACTTTGAGCACCAGCACAAACTGAGTGAACTGCGAGAGTGTTTGATGACGATCAGGAAAGAGGAAGAGGAAGCTACAGCTCAGGACAGGAAGGAAGTAGAGGTTATCCTGGAGGAATTAAATAAACACATGGGGGACAAAGGGAAAGTGAAAGTAGAACACTGAAGGAAGGAAGGGAAGATTGCATTGTGGGTTTAAGAACCTTACAGGAACAAAGTGATAGCCATGGCAGTATGCTGTCAACTTTTCCATATGCAGTAGGAAATTAGAAAAGGAAAAGGGAAGTTACTGTACTTACTCAACATTAGTTTATTTAAACACCATGGTTGTATTCACAAGTTATAGCATTTCCTTTATATAGCTGTATTAATCTGTATAAACCTGTAAAAATTCAGCTTTTAAGGGTGCACAAGTTTTATTTTGTGTTTTCACAGAGTGAAAATGTTAGATGCTGTGAAGTTCATACTGTGTTTGAATAGTAGATTTCTGTGTTAGTTATAGATATATGTGCTTTGTAACTTATTATGATATATGTGCCATATTATTTTGATGTATATCCCAATTTAAACAATATTTTCTTTTGGTCATTATAAATGTCCAAAAGTTGTGTTGTAAACTTTAAAGTTTCTTACTGTGTTTAAAAAAAAATTATTTGTAAACTGAATACCTGCCAAAGAAATAGTCATTGTCCTGCTACATTTGCAATGTGCCCAGCTTTTTTCATAAAGATTCTCTTGCATTATATTCCAGTGTTGTTACATACAGTCAGGCAGACTGAAGTGTAGAGTCTGAGAGTTTTGTTTTATTACACATTATAATTTATTTGCAGTGAGATAGCCAGTACACAGACAGTACAGTGTTTATAGGACAGAGTTGTTCAGCAGTGTAGGAATCGTATTAAGGAGTTTTTAGTGATTTTATTATCTATTGATTATATAAAAGACTGTTTGATTTTATAATATGATATTACATAGGTGGTTTTATATCATTATAGGAATTAAGTGCTTTATATTCACTTTCCTCTACGTTCAAAACTTTCAAATGCTGAATTGAAAAAAGTCATTGGCATTATTGTACTTTCCTTTTTAATTTTCACAGATTAAAAATGATTAGAATATTGTTTCTATGTGACATTTGTTAGATTACTTTTGTTTTTTTGAGATATAGGGATAGAATTCTATGATTTTGAAAAATTCTACATTTAATATAATTTAACTATTTTAAATTTGGTGGATTAAAACTTTTGTTGTAAACCAGGATGCACAACCTTTTAATGAAAATGAGGAATACAGTGCAAAGTTGCACTAATCAGCAAGTATTTACCGGTATTAGATGTAATTTATGGTACCGTTATACATATTCTCTATCTTGTCCAAAATCTAAGGTTAGGGTATTCTTACGGACATTCAGATGTGTAACACTGAATCGTTTAATAGATAAATAAACTTTATATACAGAAAGAATTTTATGCAAAGCAAAGAAACTGACAAGTCTGTAAAACACGTCACATTTTGTTATTACAAAATCGAGATGTATTGTTAAAAAAGAATTGTGGTCCCCCGCTTTCGGTTTCTTTGTGGATGAGATGTTATTTTTTATGACATATTGTGTCTAATATGAACATCCTATCATATGTCATTTCTTAGAAATTATCATTGAAGCTGATTTTTTTGGAAGGATGAAAACCCTAGTCTTGACCGTTAAAAAGTTATGGCCAAAGTAAAAAAGTTTTTTTAAAAGTAGGTCAACTCCAAGGTCAAGATCAAAAGGTCAAATTTATTTTTATTCAATGAAAGGTTTTCTCACAAGGATTACATATGTGAAGTATGAAAGCCCTAGCCCTTACTGTTCAAAAGTTATGGTCAATGTTAAAGTTTTTTCATAAGTACGTAAATATTTAAGGTCAAGGTCAAAGTTACTGATATCCAATGAAAGGACTTGCCACAAAGAATACATACGAGGGTTGTCCCGTTAAATCGTGGACAAATTGTCTAGTTTGAAAAATAATCATCACTGCGTTCTGAAAGTTTCACTACTTTTTAGTACATATATTATAAATATTCATAGCAAATTTCAAATAGATATGTGCATAAATAAATAAATTGTGATATTTTATGTTATGTACTGTAGCGCCCTACGGCGCACGGATGATAACGTCGACGTGTCTAAAACAGCGTCACGCTTCATGTTTGCTAAAATAAAGTTGGATATGCCCCACTTAAATTTAGAAATTTTATTGATTTACATACGTGAGTGTTTATTACCAGTTAAGGAACCAATGTGGCACACTCATGTGATGTTCTGAATATTTATGAGCAAGTTACGGACAGTATTCTCACCATCAGTCAAGTAAATGAGAATCTCATATCGACGGTCGACAGTGACAGCGTCTTTTACTATTACAATGGCAGTCTGTCCGCATGTTTTGTACTATCTGGGGACTCAATCAAGAAGACTTTGTTAAGAAAACGTCCATTTTATTTGTATACTAAAAGTCTGGTGATATTTTTCATATTTTTGTTCTTCCGCATTCATTTAAATTCTTTTAAAGTGTCATTAAAACATCCTAATCTAACTGAACTGCTCTCCGGTGCGCCGTAATGTCATGAAACGTCGCCATTTTTCGTGTATTTTGTATACAACTTTTCCATTTCGAATGCTCGGGAAACAGCCAAAATTTAACCAAATGCCTTGAAATTTTCAAAAAGACGATAGAATTGATTAAGGAATCGAATTAGGATAATTTTCATCCTAATCTTATGCATTGAAAACTTTTATTACGAATGAATACTTGTATATTCTCTAATACAACCTTGTTATTTTTACCGTGCGCCGTAGGACCGTACCCTGTGCACCTTCAAGCAGAATAAAATCTTTATTTTTGTATATATATTATCAAAAACATTATGATACACTTAAATATGATGAATAAACATTTACTGAAAATTTCAGCTTAGTGCGCCCATTACTTTTCGAGAAAAACGCTTTGTCTACGATTTTACGGGACAACCCTCGTATATTAAATAAAAAATTCCTAGTATCAACCGTTAAAAAGTTGTGACCAAAGTTAAAGTTTTTTAAAAAAGTAGTTAAAACTCCAATGTCAAAGTCAAAGGGTCAAAGTTGTTGGTATCCAATGAAAGGTCTTCTCACAAGTATTACGTATGTGAAGTACGAAAGCCTTAGTTCTCACCGTTCAAAAGATATGGTCAAGGTTAAAGTTTTTTCATAAGTACGTAAATCTCCAAGGTCAAGGTCAAAAGGTCAAGGTTGTTGGTATCCAATGAAATGTCTTGCCACAAGAAATACATATGTGAGATATAAAAGTCCTAGTATCTACTGTTAAAAAGTTGTGACCAAGGTTAAAGTTTTTTAAAAGTAGTTAAAACTCCAGGGTCAAGGTCAAAGGGTCAAAGTTATTGGTATCCAATGAAAGGTCTTCTCACAAGTATTACATATGTGAAGCACGAAAGCCTTAGTCCTCACCGTTCAAAAGATATGGTCAAGGTTAAAGTTTTTTAATAAGTACGTAAATCTCCAAGGTCAAGGTCAGAAGGTCAAGGTTGTTGTTATCCAATGAAAGGTCTTGCCACAAACAATATTTAATCATGTGAAATATGAAAGTCCTAGTATCTACTATTCAAAAGTTATGGCCAAAGTAAAAGTTTGGAATTTTTGTGTAAAAGTGGGTCAAACTCCAAGGTCAAGGTCAAAAGGTCAAATTTGGTGGCACCCAAAGAAAGGTCTTGTCACAAGGAATACACATGTGAAATATGAAAGTCATAGCTCTACTAAATCAAAAGTTATGGGCAAGGTTAAAGTTTTTGTGACGGACAGACTGACAGACGGACAGACTGACAGACTGACGGACAGACGAATGAGATTTAATGTCCCCTCGCTTTCGCGAAAGCGGGGGACAATAAGAGCCAGGACTCAAAGGGATATTGTATGCTTTGTTGTGAAGTGTAATTGAAACTCAATAAATACAACTCACTAGAGTGTGGAATATTTATTTTGTTGTCATCTGTGCAGATGCTTAAACTGCATCTGTGTCATGTTTATTGTATGTTATTAGAGGCAGCCCTTAGTAGGTAGTGTTGTAGGAAAGAAGAAATGATAAGAAAATAAACGTCTGGAGAGGGAATCAAACCTTGGACTCCTGTATCATTGATCAGGTGCTTTATCAAATGAGCTATCCAGATCAATATCCACACATCAAGCCGAAACTTCTACAGTTGTCAGATCCAGCATTTCTTTGTTTGTAATCTTAAGATTTAAATATATTTTTTTAAAATATGCAAGCAGTATTCAGTTTAGCATATTGTTTTAAGATTTTGGTATTTTTTTTTATGCCAGCAATCACAATTTTAAAGTCATATATGGTGTATTTTTGATCAAAAATACATTCAGACTAACTAAAACTAAAAAGATCTTTCTATTTGTTTTATTACTTTATATTAAGATAGGACTTTCCTGAAAATTTGAATCAACCACGTTTCATAGGTTTCAAAAATTTTAAACAATAATCTATTAATATCCGACTTGGAATTTAAATAACAGACACAGTTTAAATCGTGGGTATATTCAAGTTTAAGCATCTGCACAGATGACAACAAAATAAATATTCCACACTCTAGTGAGTTGTATTTATTGAGTTTCAATTACACTTCACAACAAAGCATACAATATCCCTTTGACTCCTGGCTCTTATTTAACAATACATCTCGATTTTGTAGTAACAAAATGTGACTTGTTTTACAGACTTGTTATATTATTTATGAAAATAAATCCAAAACTCTTAATAATTCTCAGATACAGTCAAAACTGCTATAGCGACCCACTGTATTAAGCAACTCACTGTCACATGTGACCGTAAAAATCCCCCCCCCCCCAACGCTTTTCCCTATATATTCTACCTGCATTAAACGACCACCTGTCTAACGCGACCAACAACTGTGATTTTTCTGACCAATTTTTGCATTTTCAAGCAATTTTACTTGAATTTAATCAACTTTGGATTGTGTTTTATCATCACTGATCGATGAATATGATAACCAGGAGATCACCAGTGGAGGTGACACATAGCTGTGAAGGTGTCCAGCCCTGTAGTCTGATCACCTCCTCTGTCTGTCCATTCTTCACTTTATATACAGAACTTTCCAATCAGAGTACACTAGATCCCCATCACTTGTCAAGGCTAATTCATGTGGCCATTCTTCTGATTTTGTTTTGAATGTCTTTATTATTGAGCTTTGAATATTAAGACATTTCGTATCAATGACTTTCCTTGCCCTTATCCAGATTTCTCACCACCGAAACAGATAACACTGCAAAGCTTATCATACCCTGCATCTATAGCAGTTATAAGTTCAGGTTCCTCCAACAGTTCTTTGATGGATGTTTCTGGTTTCTTCATTGTGTAACCACTTTCATCAGCTGTAGTGGATAAGGGTTTCAGGGATCTAAACAATGAGTAGAACTGATCTGTATCTGTTGTCGTTGGACTGAACGTTGGCAAAGATACTAAAACTTTGGGAGAAAGTTTGCTGAATTCTTTGGTTTGGAAGATCTATTTCATAGTCCGTTCAATTCTTCATTCAATTCTTCAATTCTATGCAATTCTAGCAACGTTCCTTTTATCCTAAATTTTAGTAGTAGCAACGCTCCTTCTATCCTATATTTTAGTTAATTCCATCCAAATAATTTTGCAGCATGCTCATACATGTATGCTTGATATCTGAGTTTATATGCCTTTTTCTAATTCTTCATATGTGAGGAAAACTAAGCTTTCTAATTCGTCCGTATCTTTTCTAATTACTCCTTTTTTGCATTATAAACATCCGAAAGGATTGAAATTTTATGTCCCTTGTGTGTATTCGATATTATGGAACAAAAAGAACATACAGAAATATCGCATTCTTCACAATGAAATTTACATCTTTTCGTTTAATGTGTTGTACATATAGGATAAATCAAGGTTGATTTGCTCTGCTGGACTGGGACTATTTTATCTTTATCATAGTCATCACAAATATTCTTCCCTGTACATATAACGCACAAGTTGACTTGACAAAAATTACAGTACATCTGTACTATTGCGTCTTGGCAAAGGTCACATTGAATGTTATCTTGGACATTTTTGCTGGGATTCATGCTGAATCTGAAATACAAATGAATAGACAGTTTTATTAATTGATATATATTATTTGGAACTGGGTTTAAAAATGAAAACAATTTAATATACAGAATATGAAAAAAATAATTATATTGGTTTGACAAATATTGATTATTAGCGACTTCAGTTTGAAAAAAAAATTGTTTTTTTCTTTTCATACAATAAAATAACTATTAATAGGGATGGGTATCGCCAAAAATTTCATATTGAGATGTATCACGATTTTTCACACAATATCACGATAATATCATGATATTTTTAAAAGCAGTTTTTACAATAATTTTATATGAAAAGTCATTATTTTTCTAAAAAATATGCTAGAAAAACAAAATTTGACTTTCTTGAAATTTTTATGTATATAAAATCAATTATGTTTGGACGGTAATATGCCACTCTTTTCACTTTTTACATTTTTTTATACTTTCTGTAATTGTAATTTGAAAGATTGAGCAAATAAATGAATAATTTCTGGACTGTATAATATGTACCTAAAGATCGGTATTTAGGTCTCCTTATCACGCAACAAAAAATCGCGATATACCCTAATTAATAATATGTTTAATATTCGAAAAAAATGCTCCATTCTTCTAAAAAACTAAAATATAATATTGTACAAGTTTAAAACACCACTTCTATTTTTGAGTTAACATAATTTTTAAGAAATCAATAATTTCATTTGAGATACTAGTATATCAAAGTACACACCCCCTACATTTATCATGCTAAAAGAAATTAAAACGCCTTTTTTTGGAATGCTAATTTAGTAACTTTCATCTATAATTTGATTATTTCAAACTTTCATGCTAAAAGAAGTTTCCTACATATAGAGTTACCTCTCTTTCTCTGCCCTTTAAATCCGAATAACTAGGATACAAATTGTTCTTAACAGGACAAGTGCATTTTAATTAGTAATTAGAAATCAATTAAATGAGGTTGAGACCACTAAATTTTTTCACATCAGCATAAATTTGTATGTTATATTAGCTACCTTCATAACATCATAAAAATCCTTACAAAAAAGATACATTGCGGGTTCCAGCAAATGTTCAACAAAGCCTCTATCGTTACTCCTCACTAATATATTGACAGTAGTGAAGGATAAACTTCAAGTGTACTGTGCAACAGCATATTTAAGAAGTGGCGTGAATCAGATGTGGATACTAGAAAATTCCAAAGAACGTTTGGACAATTTGAAAACACAAGAATTTACCAAAATCAACACATTAAAAACTTACGATTTTTCAACTTTATACACAACCATTCCCCACGATGAATTAAAGTCCAGGCTTTTTGATATCATTGACAGCTGCTTTTTCAATATAAATGGAACTCATAAATTAACTTATCTTGTCACTGGTCATTTGCAAAATTATTTTGTTAAAACACATTCTGATTGCACACACAAGTATTCTGAAGTTGACATCAAAGAGATGCTTGAGTTTCTGATAGACAATATCTATGTGGTTTTTGGAGACCAGGTATTCCAACAATCTATTGGAATTCCCATGGGTACCACTGCCCTCTGTTATTAGCAGACCTATTCATATGAAGAATTTGTGCAAAATCTTCTGCGTAAAAAGAGGAAAACACTTGCTGTGGCCTTCAACTCGACATTTAGATATATCGACGACGTATTGTCAATTAACAATGGTCATTTTCATTCCTACGTCGATACGATATATCCAGGTGAGCTTGAGATAAAAGATACCACGGAGTCTGACACATTTGTTTCACACCTGGATATTTTACTTGAAAAAGATGTTAATGCCTATCTAACAACCAAGCTACATGATAACCGTGATGACTTAAACTTTTCTATCGTCAACTTCCCTTACTTATGCAGCAATATACCTTCATACATGTAACCTGCGTACGGTGTGTATATATCTCAGTTGATTCGATACGCAAGAGCATGCTCTACGTACGAACAATTTCTTAAACGAGGTAAATTATTGACAAGCAAGTTGATGAAACAAGAATATCAACAGTGTCGTTTAAAGTCATCATGTCGTAAATTCTATGGTCGATACAACAATCTTGTCAGCAAATACATTTTATCATGGAGACAAATGCTGAATGAAGTTTTTCATACTAATTGTTAGTCCCTTATTTATACACTGAATTGACGACGGATTTCTCCGTTTTACAAGCAGCACACGGCGGGTGTGACCGGCCATCATGGAACGCTCACTCCTCCATGGCACCTGATCCCACCTCTGATGTTTCGGAGGTCCATGTTTTCTCTGCTCCTACTTTGTATTGTTTTATGGACTTTTATATTGAATGCTGTTTGTTATCTCCATATCCTTCAACTTTTGTACTTTATTGACTATTGAATGAGTTATCGTTTAGTCAAATGCTTACTGATTTTGTCATACTAATTGTTATGCCATTATTTACATACTGAATTTTCAACGGAGCGTTCTGTTATTTCCTGGCAAGAAGGACACGGTGTGACCGGTTAGCAGGGGATGTTCACTCCTCTATATGGAACCTAACCCCACCTCTGATGTTTTAGAGGTCCTTGTTTGCTCTGCTCCTATTTTGTAATGTTTAATGAACTTAAGTAATGTTTATTTGACTTGAATACTGTTCGTTATTTCCAGATGCATGGTGGGCTACTACAAGTTTCAATACGAACTCAATTTTGAAGAAAATTTAGGGCAATTTGAATTGTTCCTAGAAGCTCATTTTTATTTTTTTTTTATATTTATGAAAGGAATGAGTGTATTTTTCATGTGATATACATGCGAGTAGTATTAGACAGTACAAGGTACTCTTCAATTTCATCAAAATGTTTTATGAAAATGCAAAAGTCAGAAACGTACAGTATTTGAAGCAACTATAATCATATGTTTGACGAAAACATCTTTACGTAAAAAAGTGTCTTTCATAAAAGCTAGTGTACCCAACCTGTTAAACAGCACCAAAATCAGCACAAATTTTTAATAATTGAAGATTTTGAAATGATCATAAATACCTGAAATCCCTAAAAGGCGTACTCTGTACAGTAAAATCAGCATAAATTGTTGCATTTTTAATACTTTAATAAAAAAAATGTAGGGTGTTAAATTTACTGTGTCAGGGTATAAAGAGTATTTTTGAAAGCATGTCCTGAACAATATGCTTATAAAATACAGTATCACGTTTCACGTCACAATGGGTTTTGTATGAGAGTAACGAAGTTAAAAAGAGTAGATTCAAATTTTAATACAATGTAAAACATTGATAGTGATTTAAAAAAAATAGGATAAAAAGAATCTCCGATGATGTATTCTTGCATATGATAAAAGTACTTGCATATAGCAAATGTCAAGACACTGTACTATAGTGACACCTGCATAACTACACAGTAAAAGAAGAAAGCAAAATCCGGTTAAAATAATATTATCTATTTTTGAATTTAGGTGAAATTAACTAAATGCTTGATGCCGTGGAAAAAAAAGAATCAATATTTTTGGGGGGTTACTAGTATATATTTGCGATTGATAGGAAAATACTGCTTCAGGGGATTTAATTTACTAGTGGTTAGTCAATCGTGATTATATACTTTCTAAACCTAATTGACAGTATTCAAATGTATATGTATGTATCAATTCGTTGAAATTTTACTGTATGCTCTCAGATACTGGATCGTGTTTTACATCGCTGATATTTGTTTAAAAAAATCGTGTAAAAATATTATGAATTCATCTGTGCTCAAACATAGAGAACGAAAAATGTGCAGGAAAGGAAAAAAGGAAAAAAACTGAAAGGAAAAAAAAGCAGGGTAGCATAATACTCGATATTTTTTTGACAGCATGACCAAAAATTTGTCAGATGAGAATGTTAGTAGCTATGCACCAAAATCAATGTTCAGAATTACTCAACCGTAAAATGTATGACGTCACGTAGGGAATACACCAAAAAGCCAAAAACACGTGCAAATTGATGACGACGAGTTTGTCAACAAATCATATTGTACCATTTGCTGCACCAGGGGTATACACATTGTTTGTCAGTATTTAGAGACGATATGAATTTCATGCAATCTTGTTACAGTTTACAGAAGTGTAATGGGGTCGGGTTTTCGAATGGTCTAGGTAAGGAAAAAGTGAAACAGAAATGGTGGTTGTTTAGTTTCGTATAAACGTTAGACCTACTTTTTTTTATATATATAAATTCTTAAACACTAAAAAATATTAATTCTCAGATCATACAAGTAGTATGAAACTGCCTATGTACTGGGGCTGTACTGAGGTAATACATGCTGTGTTACAGGAACTCAGGGGACCTCTCTGGTGACGGAATGGATAAACATTAGTTTGTTTCATCTCTTACATACGGTCGTAAGACCTGAATAATACAGTGAGACGGCAGGGGATAAACAGCTAAGTGTTTCACAGTACACCAAAGCACGTAAGACCTGAATAAGGCTGTCACTTGGTTGTAGAGAGAGGTGGCATACCACAATTAGAGGTGGGGGAAGTGCCAAGATGCAGCAGTACTAGTGGAGAGGCAGGGCAAGAAGAAATTTACTTGCTGGAGACACCCGTTGACCACAGTTAGTGGTTGTCCAATTAAGAAGACACCCATTGTATTATTGTATTGTATTTGTATGTATTTGTTTTTAATTGAATTGGTCAACAAAAACCTGAGTTAACATGTTAACGAACCTAAGTGTAACGCCTCGGTAATACGACTTATCACCAAACACCAAGCTCGGCCGCGTTGCACGGTACAAAAGCAACAACATGTTACTGAGCAGTTTCTTGTAAATTTCCCCCCATAGCACGTGTTACCCGTTGTCAGAGAGGACCAGGAATGGTTTCCAACCAACCGTGACGATGACTTTAATGCGAAAGAGAGTCTCAACTATCGGGATATTCGTCCTGCCACCTGTTTAAGCGCCACCTTACTACCACAGAAAATCGTAATTAATACAGTAGACTATCATAATCATTACATTCACCCGAAAACTGAAAGAAACCAATTGCACAATTTGGGTTTTTGAGCCGGTCAACTTACTTTTGTGTTCGTCTGACTGGCGCATGCGCGCGTCGTTTGACTAATTTTTGGCTTGGTTACCAATGTCCAGTATAGCCAGGGTTTAAAAGATAATCATTCTGATAAAATTCTTGCAAAGAAGAATGAAGGTTGTGACAGATGCGCGGGTGAGACATTGAAGATATTGAAAGTTTTCGATTTTCACTTTTTGGGGGTATCGTCATGTGAGTTTCAATAAATCATGAATTATCGGACAAAATCCTTTGGTTACGTATTCTTTAAAGATTATTTTAACGTAAGATAGGATTACCGCAAAAAAAAAAAATTAAAAAAAAAAAAAATAAACAGAAAAATAAATTTAATTCACCTCAAAAGTTTACTCTGCGTTTCTTTTTCCTTTAAGTATATATTTGATTTTCTTTACAGCACCACTATAAAATTCTGCAACAAAAAGATTGTCTGTTTTATCCACATGTATGCCATGAGGACCTTTGAAATTACAGTTATCTATATAAAGAAGGAATTGTCCATTTTCGTCAAGAATGTGAATACAGTTATTAAGAAAGTCTGCTGTCAGGATCTGACTCTGACTGTCTGTTGCTATCCCAAGAGGTTCAAACGGTTTGTTTTGAGGAGTAGGACTTTGTCCAGTGTATCTAAATCTGAGTTTTCCGTTTTTGTTTACTACAACTACAGCATGACCTTTACTGTCAGCCACACAGACATCCTGGTTTCTGTTCTCAGTGATGTACTTGATTCTGTTATTTTCTGAATACAGGGGTCCACCCTCAGCATCAAACTGGATAGTTTGTTTTTCTACGGAACCCGAGTAACGGACAACTTTGGATTGTGTTCGATCATCACGGAACATGGCAACCAGGATATCACCAGAGGAGGTGACACAAATATTTGAAGGTGTCCAGTCTTGAAGTCTTATAATGTCCTCTATCTTCTTTTTTCTGACTTGATTCACAGTCCATTCTTTCCATCAGCGTACACGAGATCCCCATCATCTGTCAATGCAATATCATTCGGCTGTCCCCCTGATTTGGTCTTGATTTTCTTCAAGACTGAGCCGTGATTATTAAAGCATTTCATATCAATGTCCTTATTTGCCCTTGTCCAGATTTCTTCGTTACCGAAACAGGTAACACTTAGGAGATTTTCGTAGCCAGTTTTTATAGTAGTGATGAGCTCTGGTTTCTCTAGCAACTCTCTGGAAAGAGTCTCTGATTTCGACTTTTTAAGTTTGTAACCATTTTCTTCTGTTGTAATGTGTAAGGGTGTCAGGAATCCAAATATCTCGCAAAACTGATCTATATTTACTATCTTTGGACTGAACGTTGGCAGCGAAACTTGAACCTTTGGAGGAAGTTTGCGGAATTCTTTATTTTTAGAATTGTATTGCATGGTCAAGGACATTTCATTTGATTCTTTCATAAGATTCAATTCTAGCCTAGTTTCCTCAATCCAGAATTGTATTTGTTTGATTTCATGCAAATGTTCTTTGAGAATGATCATATGTTTGATTTTTTGTTCTTCAATTTCTACCTTCATTTTATCAACAATAGCATTGATTACCATGAGACAGTCTTCTCCGCGCCTGGTTACAGTTGTGGTAAGTGTATCATATTCTTTATCTAAGTTATCTATCTGATTTTCTAAGTCTCTTGCTACATCTTCATATGTTGGCGAAATTATGTTTTCGATTTCGTCGGTATCTTTAACGATGACTTCTCTTTTTGCATTATAAACATCCAAAAGAGTTGAAAGGCAATGTCCTTTGTGAATTTCAGATATTATTGAACACATAGAACATACAGAAACATCGCATTCTTTACAATGAAAATTACAACTTTTCGTTTGATGTGTGGTGCACTTAGGATAAATCAAGGTTGATTTTTTCTCCTGGAAAGGGACTATTTTATGTTTATGATAGTCATCGACAATATGTTTTCCTATACAAGAAATGCACAACTTGACCTGGCAGATATCACAGTACATCTGCACTACAGCGTCCTCACAAAGGTCACATCGAATGATATCTTGGGCACTTTTGATGGGATCCATTTCAATTCTAAAATATAAATGATATACGAGTATTGAAGAAGAGCATTATTCGTTTTAATGTTCTCATTAAGCAAATATTTATTAGCCCTCAGGGCTGAAAAATCTGTTATTGTGATTTTTCTATCTCTTAAATTGTAAGAAATTAATATATATATTATTGATGGTCAACATAATCCCTCATTTTCTATGCAAAAAGAAAACATCCGATTTATTACAAAGTCGTGCGATATAATTCTTTTCGGATATACAGTTACTTGTAAAATGATTTAAAAATTTCTTCTGAAGTCACATCATAAACTTATATCTTAGATACTTATCTAAAACGTTACATTCTGTTCTAATTAATTTTTCAGTTACTTACGTCAATAATGAAACTTTTTAAAGCACAGCATTTCATTAGATTGAGTTTTAGTTCCTTTCTGTAAAATTAACCTCCTATGGCATGGCTGGTGTTCAGTGGTGAACTTTGTTATCACCATTAGGCCTTACGGTATGTTACTCCTGATAAAAATTGTTCTAGAAGTAACTAATTAGATAACAACTCATAGAGTAAGATTCGTAATTTCAAAGCAAATTTGGTGTAAATGCACATCTTCCTGAGCAACGGTGATATTATTTTGACCTTTCTCTTCACTTTAATTTTAAATTGTATCTTATTTAATATTTTTGGAAAATTTGAAATCACAAAGATTTTACCAAATCCAACAGCTTAAAAACTTACGATTTTTAAAAAGATTATATACATCTATTACTATATATATAATACTATAGTCCAGGCTTTTTGATATCATTGACAGCTGCTTTTTGACAAGTTTATGAAACAGGAATTTCAGCAGTCTCGTTTCATCATTTCGTTTCATCATTTCGTAAGTTCTGTGGTCGATACAATGACCTTGTCAGCAAATACAATTTATCCATTGAGTCAAATGCTGACTGACGGTTTTCATATTAATTTTTAGTCCATTATTTATACACTGAATTGACGACGGATTTTGTCGCTATTTCCCGATAATGACAAGGAGCACACGACGATTGTGACCAGTCGGCAGGAGATGCTCACTCCTCCATGGCACCTGATCCCACCTCTGATGTTTTGGAGGTCCGTGTTTGCTCTGTTCCTATTTTGTATTGTTTTGTGGACTTTTGATTTTAAATACTGTTTGTTATCTCCATATGTTTCACAGAAATGGAACTCGTAAATTTACTTACCTAGTCATTGATCATTTGCAAAATTATTTTGTTAAAAAGCATTCTGATTGTACACACAAATATTCTAAAGATCAAAAAGATGCTTGAGTTTCTGATTGACAATATGTATATTGTCTTTTGAGACCAGGTCTTCCAACAATCGATTGGAATTCCCATGGGTACCAATTGCGTCTCGTTGTTAATTTTTTTTATTCTGATGAAGCAGACTTTGTATAAAATCTTATACCCGGTTTCGTGAATGAAAGAAAACACTGGCCTTCAACTCAACATTTATATATATATCGACGACATATTGTCAATTAACAATGTGTTTCCATTCTTATAATGACACGATATATCCCAGTGAGCTTTAGATAAAAGATACCACAGCGTCTGGCACATCTTTTTCAATATTTTATTTGAAAAAGATGTAAATGGTAGTCTAACAATCAATTCCTTTGATAAATGTGATAACTTTAACTTTGCAATCGTCAACTTCCCTTACTTATGCAGCAAAATACCTTCATCCTCTGCATACGGAGTTCATATATCTTAGTTGAGTTGATACTTAAGCAAGAACATGCTCTACGTGTGAAAAATTTCCTAATTCCTAAACGAGGTAAATTATGGAAAAACAATCTGAGCAAACAAGAATATCAGTAGTCCCCCAGTTTTAAAAATCACCAGCCTGTACTATTATGCAGAGTGGGTAAGACATGCCGACAAAATCCGGCGTTCTAATATCTGAGCACTATTTCTGATCATTGCTGTAATTTGTTTATGCAAGCGTGTTTTATAAGAAAAACTTAATTAAAATAATGAATGTACTTATTATAATGCCAAGCATCGGATTGCTGTGAATAAAAATCTTCATTTTACATCGAAGGAGTGCTTGAATGTACCCCCCCCCCCCCCCCCCCCCCATTTACAAATGTGGTCCAACAGATTATTTTAATTTCTTGGAAAATGGTAAAGTATGAATTAAATATATTTGTTATTATATCCCTACATTTTATCATAAAGAAATTATCTATATTGCAATGATAATTTTATCTAAAACGTCTGTTTAAACTGCAATCAAACCTTGACCGGAAAAAAAATCAAATTGAGGACGTGTCAGCTTTTATCTTAAGTCCTATAACATAATAGATTTTCGTCAAATAACTCATATTTTAAAGACATAACGTGCCTCAAAAATATTTCCAAATGATACTACAATATATATTGTATACGGTGTTTGCAAACAAATTGAGTAACGCGCCTTCTCCGTGATATGGTGTTTTGCATACAATAGATTTCCATTCACTTTATATGCATGTGTAATGTAAAAGTGTAGCTTCAATGCGTTTAAGATAATAACTGTTGTAACAGTGACGTAATAAAACAAAATCAACGTGTACGACATATGTTTACAACTATGTATGGCACGCCAAATTCACAAAAATGAGATAAACATTGTTTCACAGTCGATAAACTAGGTTTATCGGTTGTAAACTATAGTTTACGGACTGTAAACTGTACTAGTAGTTAACAACGTTAATCTATATTTTACATCTGTAAACCATAGTTAACGCGATAATCTATGTTTCACAACCGTAAACTATACTTAACACCGAAAACAATCATTTACGATTGCAAAACGTAGATTATCTGATAAATACAGTTTCACGATTTGTAAACTATATTTTACAAACCGTTAACTATAGTTAACGATCTGATAAATATAGTTTCACGATTTGTGAAACTATGATTAACAACTCTTAACTATAGTTTACGATTGTAAACTATAGTTTACAAACGTGAATCTATGTTTATCAACAAAATCTATTGTTAACGTTTATTACAGACAGATAAACTTAGATTAGCATTCGTAAACTATAGTTAACAACCGTTAAATATAGTTTCACAGATGAAAACTATACTTAACGAATCGTAAACCTATAGTTTACGGTTTGTAAACTATAGTTTACAAACGATAAACATAGTTTATCAATTGTGAAACTAGGTTTAGCTCATTTTTGTGAATTTGGCGTGCCATAACTATGCTCTAAATAAAATGAATTCTCTACTAACTTGCATGTTAAAGTCAATAATCTCACATTCTTACATTTCATATGAGCTTTTCGAAATTAAAAGAATAAAGACAGTTCTATAAATAAATCAACATCCTGTACTAATATGCAGAGAAGGAAAGGCATGCTGGCAAATCCTATATATTTTTACCTGGGGTTTATTTGGCTAATTGCATTTATGTTATTTGTTTAATATTAAAACATGTTCTTATAAGGAAAATGATTTAAATATACTTATAATGCCAAACACCAGATTGCAAGGCAGTAAAGAATTTTTACTGCTACAAAACTAAAAGTAAAAATTGTTAAAAAATGAAGTCGACACTCCTTATCATTAATAATGTGCTGCTTATAATTTTACATGTATGATTATATGAAGTAATGGCAGAGGACAGTGAGGGAAAAAGCCTAGGAGTGATCATAAAACGAAGTCTGATTTGTTAGTATTGTGAGATAATATTGTATCAGTCGAATGCACAACTGCAAGCATTATACCTGGAATTACCACATTTGGATATCTAAGTATTTCTCAGTTTTGTGCGTCTACAAGAGAGGGTCTTGCGACAGGGAATTTACAACTCTGGATCCAGGGAAGAAAACATCCTGGTTTAATAAGAAAATATTTATCACGTTAATAAATAATCTGCCATGTATCCTCAATAAAGTAACTCTTTGTTATTAAAAGTGGTGCGTATATATTTATTCAATTTCAATATTCTGATCTTTCTGTTTTGAGCGTCATCTATGTCAGAGGCCTTGTCAATGTATTGTTAATGAATTGCTCATGTTTGACGTGCTTTGTGTCACATGTTAAAATTCTAACATTCAAATAATTTTAATTTTTAGAATTATATATGTATTTTTCAACATTTTATTATTCATTCAGCGGTCTGATTTTTCATCCATATTTTGGTAAAAAAAAGAAGTTAAATATAGAATTTGACAAAAGCATATGAACTGTTTGATTATCTATATAGCAGAATCTTCGTACAATATAAAAAATTACAGCTCCTATTTTCCAAAAAGCATCTTAGGTTCGTTGTGAGTAGGAAATCACGAGAAATCTTAAATTTCTTTTACATTTTTTTAATTGTATTTGGAAGAAATGAGATACTTTGTTAAACAGTTAGGAATTACAGATTTGAAAAATGTTAATCTTTGTCGTAACTATTTTAATGAAAAGTGTCAATGATCAAATAAAGAACCTACGTCTTGAAGAAATATGTGTAATAAAAAAAACAAAAAAACAAAACAAGATCACAATGAAATATGTGGATCACTTAATTCTTGCGACTCTTTATTTTCTCGAGACAGTTATTGACTCTTGATAAGCGACATGCAGGAATTTTTCACAAATTGTGGTTTTTGCTCTATATAATCGTAAGGTTTACCTTTATACGTAAGAATCAAAATTTCGCGAGCTCTCTGTCTGGCGTAATTACGCGAAAATATGTTGAGTTCTCGCAAATAAAAAGTGATTTACTATATTCGTCCTGTTTATTGCGTTGAGGGGGATTCCTTAGTTCATATTCGACACCAATGCTGATAAGGATGTAGTGGGTAACTACCTGACACAGTGTCATTAAGAGATATCACGTCTATACCTGTGAGTTATTCCTTAAGTTTAATATCGAAAACATTATAATTTCACATACCCGTCAATTACTCGTATACGTAAAAAAATTTCAATATTGATTATTTGCTAGGAATCGTTTCTTAAAAGTTCTAATAGAAATTAATTATACACCATAATGATAAATCTGTTGGAATGCCCATGGTTACACATTGCGCCCTTTAATAGCAAATTCATTTGAAATACAATTTATTCTAAATCTGATATAGAAGAACATTTGCTTGCACTTTAACTCGACATTTCAATACCGGTGTCTATCGACGACGTATCATCAATCTACAATAGTTATTTCCATTCATAAGTAGACACGGTATATCTCAATAGGCCTAAAATAAAAGATACCACAGAATCAAACACACATGTTTCATATTTACATTGTATATATTTAACTAGAAAAAGGACACAAACGGTAACCTAACAACTAAGCTTAAAGCTGAACACTACTTGTAAAAGTCATAGCTCGCCACATTTCCCGTTCATCGACGCTCTACAACCCCTATATATGGAGCAGATCTGTTAACAGTTAATGCATTTCGCTGTAGAGGTCCGACGAGTGTAGACGTACATCTTACGATGCCCTGCTACTCGGTCGCAATGAAATTATCAAATTTTATGATTTTTATTCTAAAACAGGAGAAAAGTATCATGAAAAATACAAGTCAAAACATTATTATTTCCAACAGAAAATGCACACAAAAAAAGAATATACGAAAAAAAATCAAAGATCACGAAAGGAATACTACATGTCGGCCACGATTTCAAGTGTGCAATTGGGTGAAACGAAATCGAAGGGTTTATATATCCGTCTGACGGTGTCTATTTATGAAAAGTGTTCAGCTTTAATGATGTACACAAAAAGACTGTTTAGGGAATCTCTAAACACAATCAGAAACTGTTTTTGGACTCGGAGAAAAATATATCATATAAAGATATATATATTAAGACTTTTTTTTTTATTCATTTAGAACATAGGGTGCGTGCCTTATTTGCGCATGAAAAATGCTCAAAGACAATGGACTATTTGTGAGCAGAAATCACTGTTGTGTACTTACATTGGGAAAATTAATGAAAATAATTAATTAAATTTCTTACTCTTGGTCTAATACATTGCTAAAAATATTTTAATCTATTATAAATTATGTCATTAACGTTATATTATAATTTCTTTAATCTTACATCTTATGACAGATCACTCTAACTGTATAAAATACCTAATAAATAGAGCTCTTTCGTTTGCAGTGTTTAGAGCGTCCTTAAGCTGGGATTTATCATTTTCGACGGTTACATTTCTCAGTTGATTCGATATGCAAGGTCATGTTCTACTAATATACACTTGCTGTTGTTGACAAAAAGTTGACGATACAAAACTATTCATAGGCAATTTGAAAGTCCTTTTTTCGTACGTTTTATGGTCGATAAAATTCTCCTTCTTATTTGTATACTTTTAATGGACATTTGCGCTTGTATATTGTTTATTATCTCCATATATTCGAGGTTTTTTAGAAAAGTTTGTGGACATGTTAATTAGCAAAAAAATGTTATGTGTGCCTTCGAAATGATTGAATTCTTATTTTTTGCTTATTTGTTTTCAGAAAAAAAATCAAATCCATTTACTATAAGTCTGACATTATACGATGATTAGAACTGTATGCCCAAAGGATTCAAATTAACGCTCTTCGATCATGAAATTTGCCGGCTTGAAGTGTCGTAGTTCATAACCTCATGAATCTCCAAAAATTAAATGCATTTCATAAAATAAACTCCATATCTATGCCGTTTGTTTTAACTGGAGCCAATCACTGACATAAAAAATTAAATCGAAGAAGTCATTACATGTAGGCTTTTTTCTTCACTGTCCTCTTCCATTATTTCATTTGATCGTCCATGTAATATCATAAGTAGCACAAAAAAATAATTAGGCGTGTCGATTTCATTGTCATGAATGTTTTTCTTTTAATCACAGTTTTGTAACACTAAATTATTCCTGTAATCGCTTGAAATCCGACGTTTGGCATTGTAAGTATATTCAAAGCATTTTTCCTTATAAAAGGCAATTTAAAATAAACAAATTACGTAGATAAGGCCCCAGGTAATAATGACATCGGATTTCAAGCGATTACAGGAATATTTTACTGTTATGAAAGTGTGATAAAAAGAAAAATATTCATGACAATGAAATCGACACGTCTTATTATTATTTTTGTGCTACTTATGATATTACATGTAGGATTAAATGAAATAACGACAAAAGACAGTGAAGGAAAAAGCCGAGGAGTGATGGTAAAAAGAATTATGTTTTGTAAGTATTGTGAGTAAATATTGATCAGTCAATTGCACGACTGTATGCATTATATATTAGTTATTGTCACACTTTTATATCTAAATATTTCTGTATTTCATTTTATTTAGCGTCTATAAGAAGGAAATCAAAGCGATTACATGGAATTCACAACACTGGGTCTAGGAGAAGAAAACGTCCCACTTTAATACGAAAAAAAGATGTAGCATAAATCATGCTTTGCAAATTCTTGTCTATAAATTAATACATTAGGATACACTGTGGCGTGTGAATTGTATACATGTACTTAATTTCAATATTCTGATTTTCATTTTTTGAGCGTCAGCTATATCAGAGGCCTTGCCAATGTACTGTTAGGGAACTGCTAAAGTCAAACATGCTTTGTGTCGCATATTATAGTTTAACATTAGAATAACTATTATTTTTAGAGTGAGATTTCTATTTGTTCTATATTTTAGTCATTTAACTCATTGGTAAGATGTCTCTTTCTTATATTGAGTATAAAAATGGTGTTCAATAAAAATTTGACAAAAGCATTCCTTGTTTTTAATTTACAAATTATAGAATCTCAGTCTTGGCACAATAAAACAACTTAATTACAACTTTTAAAAGTTTCCCACAAGAAGGATATGGAGATAACGAACAGTATTCAATATCAAAGTCCATAAAACAATACAAAATAGGAGCAGAGCAAACAAGCATTGCAAGAATAAACTTACTGTTGTAACTTGAAGGTGAGTGTTCCAACGTATGCCTGCTGTATTAAATTATCCTCAAACACTACGAACAAAATAAGATTTATTACAACAAGAGGCCCAGGGGCCACATCGCTCACCTGAGCAATTGGCTAGGAAAAAGCATAGATCAGATCAGAACTGAATGTTTACTGAGGTTGGGTGTGTGGGGAGGGGGGTGCGCTTGGGGTGCTTGAATTTTAACACCCCCCCAGGGGGTCATGATTTAAACAAATTAGAATCTACACTACCTGAGGATAATTCCCCATAAATATCACTAAGCATAGCTTTGAAGTACTTGAAAAGAAGATTTTAAAAGGTTTCCCTATACTTGTATATTCCTATGTAAAACGTTTATCGGCCATTTGGCCCCACCCTACCCCCGGGGGTCATGGTTTGAACAAACTTGAATCTACACTACCTGGGGATGATTCCACAGGAGTTTCATTTTTCCTGACCTAGTGAGTCTTGAGAAGAAGAGTTTTAAAGATTTTTCCTATACATTCCTATGTAAAACTTTTTATCTCCCATTATGGCCCCACCTTACCCCCGGGGGTCATGATTTGAAGAAACTTGAATTTACACTACATGAGGATGTTTCCACATGAGTTTCATCTTTCCTTGCCCTCTGGTTCTTTAGAAGAAGATTTTTCCTATATATTCCTATGTAAAACTTTGATCGGCCATTTTGGCCCCCACCTTATCCCCAGGGTCATGATTTGAACAAACTGGAATCTACATTACCTGAGGATGATTCCACATGAGTTTCATTTTACTGGCCCAGTGATTCTTGAGAAGAAAAGAACTTTATTCGGTAATAACCAATATTTGCCCCCCAAATCAAACTTTGATGGAGAGATATTTATTTGAGCTCTTAAACAGGGGAGTATATGCTGACTTCAAAGCACTGAATATTTTCATAAGTAATGACGCCATATGTACGTAATGACATCACAAACATGACGTAAATTTCAGTTTTTTATTAATTTTACAGAAAAATGTACATATTTCGTCGATATTTTGAGTAAAAGTCACCGAGCGCATGTGTGTTCAGAATCAATATTTTGATATTATGTGTATAATGATAATATCAATGAAATATGTCAATATGGTTCCTGAACAAACTTGCGCTCTATAAATTTTAAAGCTAAAATTGTTGAAATTTTGTCCATTTTGTCCCCTTTCTGAAAAAGGATATAAAATCGGAGTAGTTTGTGACGTCATAGAAACAAAAATTGTGAATACACTGCTTTGACACTATAATATTTTCTGTTAATTTATATTTCTCATACAATTTATTGAATTCAGCACATTTCAGGAAGTTTTCAAAATTTGACTTTTGTGGGGGCAAATATATGCAATATACCGCATATAGTTCTTTTCAAAGTTTTTTCCTATAATTCTATGTAAAACTTTGATTGGCCATTTTGGCCCCACCCTACCCCCGGGGGTCATGATTTGAACAAACTTGAATCTACAATACCTGAGGATGATTTCACACATGAGTTTCATCTTTCCTGGCCCTGTTGTTCTTGATGAGATTTTTCAAAAAAAAAAAAATGCCATTAATTTTTCTCTAATTCATAATTATCTCCCCTTGGAAAAGGGCGTGGCCCTTCATTGGAATGGACTTGAATTCCCTTTACCTAAGGACACTTTGTAGCAAGTTTGGTTGAAATTGGCCCAGTGGTTCTTGAGAAGAAGATGAAAATGTGAAAAGTTTACGACGACAATGACAACGACAACAACGACGACAGACGATGGACAAATTTTGATCAGAAAACCTTACCTGAGCCTTCGGCTCAGGTGAGCTAAAAAGCAAACAAACAATAAAAAAATGTATTGATTGTATGTTGTTTAAGGTCTCTCTCGAGAATTTTTACTCATATGGAGACGCCATCACTTTCCGGTGGAGACCTATACTCTGCACTCAGGGCCATTGAGAAGTGAGGGATCTGCCAGCACCCACTGCGACATTTATATTGTTTATACTGTTTCATCCAAAAAACCGGTCTCCAAATCCCACAGTGGGGTTCGAACCAATGACGTAAAGATTAACTTCTTACTTTGCCACTCTAGAGCAGATGCTTTTACCATTGCACATGCACTATGTGGGCAAAAAAGGGAAAAGAAAGAATATCTCGTACAAGGCATATGTTGGTAATTTTGCTATAAGTAAACAGAATTCCCTCCTACGTTACATGTTACAGATCGTTATCTGACATTTTTACATTTTTCAAGAACAGGTACTTATATGCAGAGGAGGCAAGGCATGCTAATCAAATCCGGTATAATAATTATTACCTTGGGCCTTATTCGGCTAGTTGCAATTATGTTATTTGTTTATTTAAGCATGCTCATATAAGGAGAAGATTTAAATCTATTTTAAATTCCAAATATCGTGAGCAGGGGATATTTTGCTGTTACGAAAGTGTGATTAAAAGTATAAAAAAAAATGAAGTCGACACGTATCATACTTATTTTTGTGCTGCTTATGATTTTAAATGTAGGATTATATGAAGTAATGGCCGAGGACAGTGATGGAACCAGCGAAGGAGTGATTGTAAAACTAAGTTTGTTTTGTAAGTATTGTGAGAAGGTATTGTAACAGTACATCACAAGACTGCATATATTGCATCAGTTATTGCGACATTTTTCAAAGTATTTCTTTGTTTTTAGCATCTAGAAGAGGGAGATCAAGGCGCTCTGGTATATACAACTCTGGATCCCGGAGAAGAAAAGGCTCCGGATCAAAAGGAAAATAAAGATATTGTTAATTGTGCTCTGCAATTTCTTCTCAATAAAGTAATACCTTATGATAAAAAAAACTATCGTGTTAATTATAAAATTTTTGTCAATTTCAATACAAGTTTTCTGATTTTCATTTTCCGAGCGTCAGCTTTATCAATGGCCGTTGCTGCTGTTACTTTTACTTGTTGTTATTGTAATAAATTTTGACGTTTGGTGTGCTTTGTGTCGTTCGTTTATTTTTTTAACATTCATTAATTTTGAATTTTGATTGACCATTGTAGAATCTCATTCATGGAACAATTTATTATTCTCCTTTTCACCAAAAAAATCCCCAACAATCTAAGCTGAAGATATTTCTAAGATTTCTTCATGAGATGTACATGCATATAATATTTTAGAAAAAGTGAGATTTGATAGATTTGACAAATTCTTACTTAGTCGTAAGATGTGAGTGGAAGAAGTTACATTTGTTTAAACGACGTAGCAGGATCCCGAGTTGCAAGGTAGGTCATTCTAAATTTAAAATAAAGTTACATGAAAAAATTGACAGCTGCTTTTCAAATAAAAAAAGAATTCGCCATTTGTTCACCTTCTCATTGGTCATTTGCAAAAACACTTTGGTTGTACACACTAGTACTTTAAAGTTGATAATAAAAAGATGCTTGAGTTTATGTTTGACATTATCATTGAAAGGTTTTAAATCTTATTTATACTATAATTAAATTATTATCATAGATATATTATCTAATATTTCTTTACTTTTGGGTATAAGCCAGAGATTAAGGGATTATTTTATCTAATTAAATAATTAGTATTTTTGGTGATTTCTGAATGGTTGTAGACCAAATCAAAAGTCAATGATGCATAATGTCATAAAAAATTAGCATTCTATTTTTTGATAAAATAAGTTTTTTAAAGATAAAATTGTTAAAAGAGAACATATCTTATAGCAAACCTGTCAAAAAGAATCCCTTCCTTAAATGCTTTCAAATGTTATCTATCACTAAGAGCTGAATCCTTTTTTAAAAGCATAATTTACAATTTTATATGAAATATGTGGAGATAACAAGCATTATAATTATAGACCTCAAAAGACCATCCAAAAGACCTCCAAAACATCAGAGATGGGACAAAGTGCACATGCCATGTATCTTTCGGCAAATTAAGCGGAAAAGTCGTGATATTAATAGTAGAAATAAAAAAGAAGACTAGTCAAATGTCTCGGGATTTTACCTGCAGTTATAAATCGCTCTATACAAATGACGAAAGTGAAGAAAGTAGGCGTGCAAGGTATTGTTATGGATTTATATGCTCTGAGGGGACAGGGATCATGAAAGATGCAGATTTCAACTATAAATGCTATTTGCTAAGCTGGATTGAAATACTGTAGACGTACTTTTTTCCACGGATACATAATTCCGCGGAATTTCTAATTCTTTTGAATCCATTGGTAGAAAATTACGCGGCTATCTTCAGACTCTCTTTATATGCATTACATTTGCAATAAGTTCGACTGTACAAATTTCCGCGGAAAATTTGTGACCGCATACATAGCGTAAAATAATACTACGCGGAAAAAAGTACTTCTATATTATGAACAGCAGTTCCCCAAAAGAAGCTGGATTACATTCAAACGCACTATGAATTACAAATAACTGCAGAACCCAAAAGCAAAGGACCATGAATTTTACAGTTTTGGAAGACACACCTTTGACCATCATAATTAATCTCTTAGATACAATGCATGTTCACTAAATGAGCAATGAAACACCTGCGCATGGAATTTATGTCTTCCAGTTGATTCGATAAAAAAAACATGGTGTGCGTACCAGCAATATCTAAAAGGGGATAGTCATTGTTACGATTGGTCACCATTCAAGACCCTCTTTGACAACGGGTAACACGTTCTATGGTGTAAATTTATGAGACATTGCTCAGTAACCCCTTGTTGCCTTTGTCCTTACTTAAACATTTCGAAAACCAGACCCCATATAACTTCCGTAGACTGTACAAAGATTGCAAGAAATGCATATCGTCAGTAAATATTGAAA